CAACTTTAGTAGAGAAAAAGCCCGACAGTTTAGAAAAGTTGGCTGATTATCTACATCGTGATTACCAGAACGTAAAAGGAGCAACAAAAATTTAAGGTGTGTTTATGGCTCAGAAAATATTATTATATGACTAAAAAAACCCATGAAATCAAAAGAAAGAAAAAAAAGCAACCTTTAAGAAGAGGAGAAGAGCATCATAAAATAAAGTAAGGATTAGGCTCGTCGCAAACTCCTCGCTAGTGATAAAAAATTTTACTGGGCCTTTTAGTAATTGATGGTTTGCCGATAATTAGCTGCTAACATTATTTATTAGATTATTTACTTTTTGCTAAAATATTTATATGTGGTCGTGTCTTGCGTCGATTCGACACGGCCGCCAATTTAGCAGACCACAGTTTACTTGTCAATCCTTTAATTTTTCTGCGGTTCTGCTAGAATATTATAGGTGGCGTTATTATTTTGAATATTTTTTTAAGAAAGCTCGCAATACAATTGCTTCGCCTTTCTCGTCGCCTTTAATAATATTATGATTATCTGCGATAAATGTAAAAAAGAAATTAAGGTTGGAGAAAGTTATACGCAAATTTTAGTAAATGACGAACAAAAACATTATTGTAAAAAATGTTCGGGATGAGATAAACAGGGAAAATGATGGATAATAGTGGGGATTACTATATTTAGTTTGGTTATTCTCTTGCTGATTTTAATACCAAGTGTGGTTAGGGATTAGGATATTATTATCTGTTTATTAGCAGCTATCATTATTATTTGGGTCAAAGTGTAGGATAGCGGATAATTAGCTGCTATGATTGTTTGTTTTGTTAGCTGCTAATTTGCTGATTATTTATTTATTAATTGTTTTTCTATTTGCTGAATATAGTCTGGATGCAAACCCATTTTTAAGTAAAATTTGCGACATTCAGTGCATAATTTATTATCGTTATGCAAAAGAATAAAAGTCAATATCGCATGCTCGTTATGCTATTTGGTTAAGCGATTGGCCTTATTTAAATCTTGACTGGGAAATAAATAATCTTTGATTATTCTATTGCCGTAGGCAAAAACCAAAGATATTGAATAAATAACAGCAGGTGATCATAAGGAGAATTATTCACTAATAACCCTATGCGGAGTTATTTGCTTGCTTAAATTAATCCTTAAATCAGCCAAACAATCTTGCTCGTAGTCATGTTGAATTCCTAATCAGAATTCGGTACTCATATCAAAATAGAGAGCAAGTCGAGTCGCTAAATCTTTATCTAGGTCACGCTTTTCGTTGATTAGATCATGAATTATTTGTGGATCTACCTTAATATTTTGAGCCAATTTTTCCGGGGCTAATTGTAGAGGGAGCAAAAAATCTTCCCGTAAAATTTCTCCGGGGTGAATAATTATAGGTTCCAAATTTTTATTATTAGTCATAATTAATATTTTTTATCATGCTTATTAATAACTACTTCGTAAGCGTTATTATTTTGCCAGATAAAAAGTAAGCGATACTGTTTATTAATGCGGATACTTTGATAATTGAGATATTTGCCACTTTTTATCTTTTCATAATGATTACTAGGGACATTGCGTAAATCACGGCTGTCTCGGGCTTGGTGTAATTCTCGTAATTTACGATAAATTATTTGTCTTAGTTCGCTAGGGACGCAATCAACTTGAATTTGACCTTGGTTTTGTCAAAATAATTCTAAATCCTTATTGCGAAAACTTTTAATCATTTAATTATTTTTACTAGTAGGGTTAGGATTATTAGATTTTGACCTATGGCAAAATATTTTATCTATTTTTCTGCTTATTAGTTGCTAATTGGGTGATTTAAGCATGAATTTCTCTTCTTTTTTCATTCACTACTACTGGCTCTTGGTAAGTAGGGAATTCCAAAGTAATTTTCTCGTAAAGGGCAACTGGTTTTTCTTCTTGTAGTTCGATAATGCCCCAAGATGCTAAAATTTCCGCATCCTTTTTTACGTTCTGGTAATCACGATGTAGATAATCAGCCAACTTTTCTAAACTGTCGGGCTTTTTCTCTACTAAAGTTG